CAGGGGAAAACATGAAATGCCTGGGCGCTGCAACCTTTTGTACATAAGTTGCTTTATGTGCTGGTCAAGAACATGAGAAGGCATCCTGACACAGAATGAGGGCCATGTGTTTGTCTACAAAACTATACTCTTCTCCAGAGAAATAACTACAACTTTCTACAAAGGGACACACACTCTCAACCTAATCCACCTCACTGACTTGTTATTCCTCTGCTAATATAGTTCACATTGCTTTCTTACTGAGAAAGACTGGATCATGAGGGTATGAATACAGTGAAAAGGGGGAGAGAACCCAGTTGCAACCAGGAGAGCCCTGGAATAAAAAGCCTAACAAAACACATACACACACACACACATATTGTAGCAAGGCACACAAAAGCTCATACCTTGAACAAAACTGTGTTGGTCTTAAAGGTGTTTGGGATTTCTTCCACGCAATTGAGGCAGCCCAGCAAGCTCTCCCTCCTTCCTTCCCTCCCTTCAGGGAGGAGGCTCAGCCAGTGAAAGGAAAGAAAGGCTTCCCTTTGTCTCCTGCAGGCTGGCCAGGAAGCCAGTTCTGGCTGTTCCTCCCCTTCCTTGGGAGGAGGAGGGGATGGAGCCTCAGCCAGTTCTTTGCCAGACTCTCTCAATTACACAGGAGAGCCTTGCCTATCTATCTCTCCTGTGCGATTGAGAGAGACTGGTAAAGCAAGCTGTGACATGGCGGCGGCAGCAGAACTACAAATGGAAGTAGGAAACAGCCAGGGCCTTGCGGGCCAGATTGGCTTCCCTTTGTCTAAACCTGCAGCTGTAAGCTCTGAGAATCCCTGAGTATAAGTGTTAATGAGACTAAGAAAGAGTAGAAGTAGGTATAGGAATAGTGGTGTGATAGTTAATATTCTTAATATAGTAGACCATCTAATATATTAGCTTAATAGGTGGTGTTAGGTGATAGCTTAATATTCTAGACTTTCTATTATATTAGCTTAATAGGTGGTGTTAGGTTTGTATATTTATTTTATTTGTTATCTAATTTTAAGTAATTTAGGATATTTTTATATTAAGTTATGAATTAGTATTTTAGAATATAATTCAGAGCACTGGTAGTGCAATAGAGTACTATAGTATTATAGGTATAATAGAGTACTTACAGTACTTATAATAACTTCAGTATCTAATATTTGTATTATAATAGTTATAGTATTTTCATCATTTGTATTACTGTCATTATTACTTATATTTTTTCATTTTTTCATTTTATTGTATTATACACTACATCATATTTATAATGGGGAAAAGGAGAACTTTAGATGATAACTCATTAGAAATAGTTCAACCGAAACACAGGAGAATCAATGAAATGTTTCACTAAAATGAACATCTTCATTTAAATAACACCTTTGATCCCCTGAATTCAGATATTCCTGCCCTGGTGGTAATAATACTCTTTCACAAGTAACAGATCAGTTCCTGCACCCTCTAGCCTATTTTGAAGCATCTGTATGAACTTCTGAGTTGGTCACTGATTAGAATTGACCTGAAGTCTTTACTAATTTTGTCTGACTCCCATATTCACACCAAGGTGTTGTTAACTTTTTATTAAAAGAAGATCCCCTCCATGATATGGGCAAAACAAAGGAATTGTGAGCTACATAATATTTTTATACAGACGATGTTCAAGGACTTAAGTGTTAACCCATTAGTCCTCTTCTAAGTATTGCAATCTTTATCATGTAAGGAAAATGGTAAACCATAAATTGAAAATATTGGTAAAAACAAGTATTCCAAATGTATCTTCGGGAAACTATTACACCACCCTTTTTAAGCGAAGAAGCCATTACACCTTCACCTTTTACTGCATTTCCATAAACCATCTCTAAATGGTCACTGGTTGAAATGGTGGAAGTTTTCACATTATTAAAAAGGAATAAAGCCTGTTAAGGCCCCTGACCTAGACTGGAACTCTTAAGAACTATTGTGACTGGTGGGTGCCAGTTTTACAATGCTAATACACTGTGATTAATTCAACTGACCAAGACCCTGACAAATGGCAACAAATCGATTTAAATCACAATTTAAATTACTAGTCAGTAAGACTAGATTTCAATCATGGTTTTCTACCTAAAGACTCATTCTTGCTGGTATAATCTTAATATTTACAACCAGATGAAGCTTTCATTTTTAAATAACTTTTTAGATTAGTTTTACAGTTGTAGCAAAAAAATTACTGATTTGGTTGTACTATTAGAAACACATCATAGATAGTTCACCTTGCAATAATTTCATAATTATCTATCTCCAGTTTAACAGGTTAATCATTTGTATTTGGACAACTTTTCTGCTTTATTGGAAGGAGAAAAATAATCATTACCGTAATAATAATAGTTTAAATAATTTTATTTAAAACAATAACATAGCATATGCATTGTTGTATTTGCTTAAACACCCGTGTTTGTTAACTGATGTGGTTAAACAAAATATCTTAAACAAACAAAAAACTAAGACTGTCGGCGTGGTCCACACATGAAAACCTTAAAATACTGTAGCTCACATATTCATGTTCATC